TTTTGTTTTCCGTTTATCGTCACGTTTCTTTTCATGTACATGCATGTGTGTGTGTGTATTATGGTCATTGTTGAATATAGATGAACAACGACACAATACAAATAATAAGAATATCTTTCGAATTTGAAAGAAAAAATGTTCATCATTGACTTGATTTCTCTTTTTCTTTTAATCTCAAGTATCTTCTCAATGGACGTTGACGTGAAAATTGTTTGAATATACCTGAAAGATCGAGCGTTTTTGTTAGAAATTCACACACATTGCAAAAGGATAGTGTTAACCGATCACTTTTTAAAATAAAAAGCTCTTGAGAGCTAGCCAAGGAAAACACAAAATACAAAATGTGCCATTATTTATGAGTTATTCATTATAAACAAATTTTATTTGTCTAAAAGAGTAAGGCATATACTAATTACTCAAAATATGTTAGGCATTGTTCTTAAAAATTGCTAGTTGAATCATGGTTTTCTATTCGTATATTCATGAAACATGAAAATAATTTTGCATCCGATCTATGGTTCAAAAGATAATTTTGACATTTTTTTTTCTCAAACACTCTTGAATGATTCTATTGAACAAAACTAGATATATTTAAAACAGATTTTTTTCAATTACACTATATCAAAGCATAATCTACAAGATTCAATATTCAATTTCTCGTAATGCTACAGGATGTTTCATAAATCTTGAGTACTCGTGTCAGTCTTTCAAATGACATATTAATGAAGAATATATTCTCTTGTAATAATAAAAATGAGAACAGGTTTTTCGCAATCAATCTACAAGATATTTATTTAAAAAGAATGAAAAAAATTCTTATATTAATCTGATTACAGACGAATCTTATTAAACTATCATGCGCCGGTTGTGCAACACTGTTTATTCGTCAAGCCTCTTAAAAATTTTATCGATTATTACAAAGAGTATTCTTGATGTAGAATTATTCAGCACTGTATTAAAGTCCTTAAAAGAAATCACGTTCATCAGTTACGAAAAGTTTACCTTCATTATTATTATTGAAAGAGAAGATTTTATTTAATAATGTATCATTTGAAAAACTGACACGAGTACTCAAGACTTATGAAACACTATGTACGAGTTTATCCGTAAAGAACGGTCAGGAAACTAGGGGAAAGAAAATGTCAGACACATCTTGATGTCCAAATACTTATGACGATTCTTTTGCCGCTTTTAAAACAATTTTCGCAAAAATTTTCACGATAAATTGCTTTCAAAAAGAACAGTTTCTTGACGCATCATCTATATCTGTCTTTTAATACCAAAAACAAACAATATATCGAAAAAGTAGGCTTTTTCTAGAAAATTTCGAAAATTTAGTACTGCCAAAGCTTTCTTCAAATCGCATCCTCAATTAATTGAAAACTTGTTTCTTTTTTGTATTGATTAAAGCTTCAGTCATATTGAATCGGCTATAATGCAAAACTATATTATTCTTACTATGTAATCAGATAATATTATCTCAGGCACAGTGTCTACCAAGGCATTGCGTCAAGCGAAAGCGGATCCAGGTTGATTTCTTTTTCTTATGAATTACAAACTGATTCTTCGTTTCTAAACAGTCTTGTATAGAAAGAAAAACAGAATCCAGGCACAATTGCAACTAAAACAATTAATGACTTTTGTAATTTTCTTCTATCCGTTTCTTATGTTCTTACATTTTTCTGTTTGATAAATTGAATTGATTTTCTTGAATTTTTGCCAATTGGTAATGATCTCAAGAAATTCGTGTGCTTTTCTGAAATCCAGTAGGATTCTTTCTTTGACTGTAAGTAAGCCTGAAATGATCGACCAGAATTTTTTCAACTGAGAAATCAAAATAGAACAAATAATTATATGATTTTACGAATGCTTTGTAATCTAGTTATGATATAACGAAAAAACAATTGAACAATCATGAAATATTTAAATATGTCATCGTCTGATTAAATAGGATAAATATACACTAATTATTAATTTCTAGATTTATTCTTGAATCATGTATTTTTTTAAATAAGAATTTCATTAATGTGAAACTCATTATCATCACGTACAAAAACCTACATAGAAAAAATAGTTTTCATGGTATTCGAAATTCGAAAAATTAATATCTGACTTTTTTTTTTCAAATACATAGAAAACTATACGCCTTCATACATGACGCTAGTTAAAATATCTGTATTATCAGTTCGTTCTAAACAAAATGAAAAATTTCTGTTTTTTTTTTATATTACGCCATTGTAATGTTATAATGTAGGCAGATAGATATGCTATAAGTAACGAGAGAGAGAGAGAGAGAGAGAGAGAGAAAGAAAACTGACAGCCTATAAAAAGAGAATCTTTTCAATGTATTTTATTATAATTTTAAAATTGTTACAAACAAATTACGATGCATCGAAAGGTATGTGAGATTTTGTTCAGTAAAAAGATATTTACTTCTGATCTATTTTATCTCATCATTTGAAAAAAAAGGTTCTTTTATGTGGCAGTGTAATTTTAATACTGTTCATATTATCTATTGCATATGTCAATGGAGAAGATGCAACAGTAGCTACTACACGTGCTGATTCATCATGTGAAGATGGCGATTGTGAAATGGGAACAACTGTCGAAGAAGGTAAAAAAAACAAGAAACTTCTTTACATAGGATAGTTAATAATACGTTCAATTTCTTTATTTCACTATCATTTTATTCTTTTTAATTTAATTTAGTTACAACAATAAAAAGTGTCTCTGAAACAGGTCAGTTAAATTTTTTTTATATTTCATTTTCTTGTTATTGATTCTGAATTAAATTAGCTGAAACAGTTGAAACTACACCAAAATCAAGTCAGTTGAATTTTTTATATTCATGTTGCTTGTTATTTACTTTATATTTATTTAGCTACAACAATTCGAACTACGAGAAAACCAAGTCAGTTGAATGTTTTTATATTGCTTTTTTTGTCTATTATTGCTTTCAAATTCATTTAGCTACAACAACTAAAAGATCGCGCAGACCATGTGAGTTTCTTGTTTTTTACTTTCTATTTCTTATTAGTTTCAAATTTCCGTATCATATTTTCATACACACACACACAGCTAAATACGACGTAAGTAATACATCTGCGAACTGTTTTCATTATTTGGATTTTTGATTACAATTAGAATAAAAGAAGACGTCCAGGTTATGGTAAGAACCGTGATAACAATTATGATATCATGGATGAGAATGTACGCTCACCTTTGGACTCATTAAATGTTTGGATCGCCTATGGTAATGGCTGGATACTTGACGATAAATCAAGATATCGTGGACAAGGACATGGTGATTATCGTAATAATGCAGATTATAGTGAAGAAAAAGATTATGAAGATACCAGTGATGATGATGATGATTCTAAGAAAGAAAATTATAGCAAACAACGTTTATATGCACGTATTCGTTTTCCTGTTCGTCATTATCGAAACTATCGTCAATTCCCTATCAGTAAATTTCATTTGTCTTAATGTTTTTTCCTCATTCATAGAAATGCGTTTACTTTTTATTAGAACGTTTTCCACCACTTGTTTCAATTGCTCCATGGCTTCCAATCTTTTATGATAAAGTTACTTATCAAACAATCATTTTTTCACCAACAGGCGGCAGTAAGTTTTTTTTTTTTTTTTGTTTTTACTAAATAGAAAACTAAAAATACATTAACTTTTTTCGTAGTTTATATTTTACCACCATTGATCAATTTTTATGGCCAACGTTTTGCTGTTGCTCAACTTATCAAGTGGGGATATGCTTCATTAGTTAGTACAGGTGCATCTCCACCACCTAATGTTGATGTAGCTCCACTTATTCAACAACCACCAGGTTTGATAATAGTTCTTTTTTTAATTTGCTCAAACTTTTCATAACGTTACTCTTATTTTTTTTCAGTTACACCTGTTAATGCCGGTGGTGCAGTTCCTTCGACACCAGGTCTTGCTTTTGATGAAAAAAGAGTTCAATTTACTGATGCTGTTAAAACAAATTTTCTTTACATTAAACCAGATTATGGTCAAACTTTAGTTGAAGGAGGATATGATACTTATGAACCAACGTATGACAAAAACTATGGCTCGCATTCAAATTATGATACAACAAGTAAACAACAAGTTTATGCTCAAGATTGAGAACAAATGGCTGATAGTGCTGCTTATTAAAATATAAAGAACTTATTTTATTTCATTTTTTTTTCTTTCGTTTTTTTTTTCGCATTCATCTTCATATGCAAAAATAAGAGTGTCATTTTTCTACTTCTCATATATCTTTTTAATATTCACAATAATAAATATCTATTCATGAAAAGAATTCATGTAACATTATTTCTTTTTTTTTACTCGGAGAATATCATTGCAAAATAATAGTGATGTTTTAGATTTTATCGTTGTTCTTACTCTAAGATGGACGTTTTTATTTGAGGATGGAAGCAAATCAAAAGACTTGAAAGTTTCACAATAAATTGATGCAGTATCTTGGTAGCAATAAACTACGGATATAGACTTTTTTATAGATATTCAAAGTTCATTTGAATCTACATGATGTACATAGTCCCGATTTGAACGTGTTTAATAAGTCGGAGAACTACCCTTGCTTAGTCAATTGTGTTATAAATTCAAAAAAAAAAGATGAAAAAAAAATCAGTAACGAGAAAATAGCGATAAATCTAAATGTGTTCTGTTCCATGTTTTTGTTTAGTTATTCATATCATACTATTCCTATATACTAGACATGTATTACGTTTCATAGCTGTATGATTATATCGACATGTTTCACTTGTTAAATGAAGATTTCATTTGGAATAATGATGAAAAACTAACGGACTTACAAAACAATTTTGTTTCATATCATTTTTCAGACGAAGAAGATAGTTAGGAAATAAACTCATATCATCATTCATTATCCATAGATCACCATTACGTGAATAAAAACGATCACTTTGTTTAATTCTACGAATACCATCAAATAGAATCATATGTTCATAGAGACATAATCAACGATAAACAAATATATCTTGACTTGTCCAACAATTTCGTCCATCATATCTAGGACAATATGGAAGTAAAAATATCAAAGCATCACGATGTATTGTATTAAACACAGTATCAATATGATAAACAATTTGTGTAAGAAGATTAGTATATGCCATTGGAACATATGTACCTGATATAGTTGCAATAGCAGATAAAATCGAAAAAAGAAATACATTAAAGAGTAAAAAACATTTTTCTTCTTCAATTAAAAGTTTCGTTAAATTAATAAATGAATAATAATGTGAAATAAATAAATATTCTTCATTATGATCATAATCAATAATTGTTTTATTTGTTAATAATTGTTCTGCAAGTGAACATGTTACATGAATATTACCATCAACAAAATTATAATATGACCAACGCCAACCTTGTTTTTGTTCTTCATTTAATGCAAATTCATATAATTTATTTCTTGTTGTTGTTCATATTAATTTTTCTTTTGATATTAAGTTCTTTTTCATTTATAATAAATATACGAAATTTAATATAAAATTATTCATAAATCATACTATTAGCTTTTTTTGAATCACTTTCACCCTTTGAATGCTATGAATTAAAGTCCTGTATCGGACTTCAAAACCCGATTTCGTCAGAGTTATTAGAAGAATTTTTTCAGAGTCAAATTTTGGTGTCACATCAGTAAAACTGGTAAGTATGTTTACTATTACAATTAACAAGTTTATTCTTTATATGCTAAGTAAAGAACAAAAATACACTATTTTACAGATTCATGAATGCGTATGTTTCAAGAAAAAAAAACACATTAGAGAGACATTTTCATTAACAAATAGCACAAAAATAAGTATATATACTAGTCAAAAAAAGTTGTCGGAGTCCAGTTTTGGAGCTAACAAGTTAAACTATACAGAACTCCACTACGAACCCTCTTAATGATCTTTAGATATTATCGGCGACATAGACATGAATCATAATAATCACTTTTGGTTTCTTTTCACAAAAAAAAAAGAACAGTGAATTCCAAGCATCAAAAGCTACGAGAAAAATCCAGATATCATCGACTTAACTTGTTTTAATTTATGAACCAAAGATTGACCCAATCGTGTTACAGAAATGGGATTAGTTTGTGTTTATTCGAAACAGAATCATCCTATCTCTGTGACAAACGTTTTCGTTATCAAAGAATTTTTAGTTGATGTATCTTCTTGGATATTGTCCATTCTATTCGAACCATCATACATCCATACGAATTTGCTTATATTTTATTACAATAAAGAAAACCATAGCATAAAAAGCAAAGAATCTTCTAGATGCAAAAAGCAATGTCTCAACAAAAGGTACAGCAAATCATAAGAACAGTATTGCCTAATGTTTCCTTCACCCACCCCTTTCTCTGTATAGCAAGAGTTTGGTATCTTCAGATCAGGCCAAAAGATAGGATTAGATTCGGACGCCAAACTCATTAACCTAGGTAATGAATATGATTCTTTTAATTTCGAATTGTTTCTACGATAAAATAATGATATTGGTTGAAAAGAAATCAATTTTTTATTTCTCTTTATTTCACTTAACCATGTATTTATATAAAGATGAATTGATGAACGAAAACGAGATGAATTACAATTTTCACGCCAACAATAAAATATAGCATCAGCTGTTACACTGGGAAATATTTTAGAATATGCATCAACTTCTATTTAATTTTCGCATAGAGATAAACAAATAATAAGAGCCAACGTTGGAATAGATGATATTTTTGTTGATTTTAAATTCATTTTTCCTTGGTATTCAATAGTAGTATATAATGATATTGAATTCCATTGAAACCAAAGTAACCAACGAGATATTATTATTGTTATAAAAAATAATAAACTTCGATATGTTTAAGTAAAGCAACATTTTAAAACAAGTTTGTGTTCATTAATATTTCGTCGAAGTGAAAATTCAACAGACATGATAATAAATATAAACAATAAGTCAAGTATATAATAATGAGAATAAAAAATCGATAAAGTAAACTGATTGTGTCATACATACATTTTTCTTGTTTCATATGATGATTAACATTGCATTAGCAATGTTATGAAAGTGCTAAACAGTCTATGATTAGTGCATAAATTTCTTTTTGTACTGAAAGAAACGTATGTGTGAAATAATTTGTATTAAGCAGAACGTTTTATTGTATTGAACCTTGAATAAGTATCAATTCTGATACAAGTTGTACGAATTGAAATTTAAGAAAAGGTTTTTTTTACAAAAATAAAACACACTCAATTTATGACCTTTTCTTTAAAGAAATCACTATAATAGTCTTCGATATTTTGACATCATATGTATAATGAACATATTACATCGCTGGATGTCATCGCTTGGAACAGAAATATTTGATTGACTATTATTATATATATTGCTAGTCGAGTAGCATGCACCATAAAGTATCCCTTATCTTGGTGCATCGAGCTATAAAATCGTAAGATCTTATTGGTATTCTATTCGTCATAAGAATATATCCGTCCATCGAATCAACACCATTCGCTAACATTCATGATGCTAGCAATTAGAAAAGAGAAGAAGAAATTCTCTTTTCCATGCATTCCATTTTTCGCAGTGGATCAATGAAACAGCGAGATTGAAACAATCGTCTTTGGCAAGTCGATTTAACATTAACCAGTGACAATGATCCAGAGCTCCATTCATTTACTCAACACAAGCGTGAAGAGACTAATCGTCAACATGAAGAATAGAATCGTTTAGTTATATTGCTAATTATACTTGGTAAATTCAATAAAGCTCAAGAAGTATATGATATTCTGCTTGATTAAACAATGACTAGTCTAGAAAAAGCCTCTATTTACCACTATCTCGGACAAATGAAGAGAAAATCAAGGTGAATTTGTAGGTGCAATTAACTGTTATAAGAAATGCACTGAAATTGAGGAGAAGACTTTCCCGCAAGCGATTATGTTTTCGCCACTACTGATGGCGAAATCGGCTTGGTATATTACGAAATAGATGACTATTTGAATGCACTTTCATTTCATCAAAAAACATTGAAACAATATTCATCTAAATATCGAAAAATAGATCTTTTATGAACTTCATTTTATCTTCAAGAAAGTCATTTTCCAAACTATTTTCATGGAGAAATGTATTTCGTCAATGAATTCGATACGAGAAAAATAAAAAAAAATATTCTATAATTAATTCAACAAAGACTGTTTGTTTATCATCTTTAAATAAAATAATTTTATAGAAATATTTCCATGTTAAGTTCACAATTAATTGTTGGTATTCAAATCTCAAAACCAACACATTTTAATACATTTTTCAGTCGAGTGAAATGCAAATGCCATCTAGTTATTTTGACTGGTTATAATCATAATTGATCATATATAATGACTTGATTGTTCATGAATTATTTATTTATCCGTTACGCTGAGCTATTACTCGTAATCCCTTATTCATTTGCCTATTATCATTAGTGGATATAAACTGTTATCTAATTCGGTTTATTCTCTGATCTACACTTATTCTGTCGTAAAATATCTGACGTTGTTATGTTTTTTAAACAAATTTATCACATACATTAAAGAAATAATCATAAATAAACTTTATTTTAAGCTGTTTATTTTTCCTGTAAATATATAAGATTTTTAATTAATATATGTTTCTTTTGATTATTTTATTTCGATACTTATGACTTCCTAGCATTCTTCTCATGATAGGCTTCTGCTTCCATTCAAGTATTATTATATTATTAATATGTAGAAAGATACATAAACCGCAACAGATAGCTTGAAAACATCTATAGACTATTATGAATCAATCCAGCATACCAAAACTTGACCTGCTTGAATTTTTGGTTGGAAATATTTTTTCTTGATTATATTCTAAATAATACTGATGTATTCCAACATCATCTTAATCGTACATCTATTTTTTAATTTATCGAGAACGGATACAAATAAGTGATCGACTTTATCAGATAGATTAATTATCTTGATTTTCAACATCAATCAATACAAACTTGCTTTGAAATATATATTATATAGGGATCCTTCCTTAATTTTCACCAAAATACAAATTTTATGTTTATGATTTATAAAACAACATCGACGATTGATATCAAAGTCTAGATGAGTATATTAAATCATTTTTTTAAACTTATTGTCTTCATGAGGCCGAGTGACGAACGAAAAATCCTCTCCATTTCGGTCTCTGTTCTGATTCTTAAATCTAGCTTTGACGTTAATATCATTAGTAGTGATTTTATTGGTTTTTGTTTCATGTATATATATACATATCATTTCTCATCGTAATTATTTAACATACAAGAATTTACATGAATACTTCAACTGAATAAGATCAAATTCTTTTGACACTGAAACGTATACTGTTAAATTTTTAATCGTATGAATTGGTCGTGTCAGTAAAATAGGCTCTATACTATCCTGTAACACAATAAATATATTAGATGCTGTTATCCAATTTAGTATGTTATGTAGCACACACTAATGTTTTTGATGTTTTATTTTAACTCTTCATGATATATCGAGTATATAATGTAATTTTCCAAACAAAATCTATTGGTTTTAATGTATTCCCGATGTTATTATTGTTTAAAAGCAACTAAAACTATAGTGGTTATAAAAATCTCATGATCAGCTAAAAAAAAGAAGAATGCTAATCTAACAACATCTAGTTTATTTTCAAAGCGATCCTCTATTCTAGTGAAGAGGTTTATTGGTTAGAGTTACTTTTGGTTAATGCTAAAAAATATATATAGACTACAAATTCGGGAATCTTTTTATTTTCATCAATACTAAAATATGTTTATTCTCTTAGAACAAATTTACAATACTATGATATTTTTCGAAAGTTTTTATTTGTAGTAAGTCTATTTATATTTTATTGATTCAAATCAAAGTATACTTTACATCTGATTAATAATGAACCATTAGCAAATGGCCAGATCAGCAATAATTCTATTAGTTCTCAAAATAGTACAAAGAATTGATTAAGAACTAATTGAAAAGTGTCTATTTATACATGTTTCAATAGATGAGAATAGTTTTCTTGTATTAGTTAATCATGAAACTCATATCAATGACATATGTTACTGTTGTGATAGATTTAATTAATCAATAATTATAAAGAAGTTTTTATGACTTTCATGAACTTTGCACTATGTGTTTCGAAAAAAAAATATAGAGCATGGCAATCTTGAGTCAAGGAGTTGTGGCTCTCCATTCATACCAATGAAGAGAGAGAGGTTGACGGTAATTGGTTACATTTCTACAGCAACTGAGAATAGCAGAAGTCAGATTCTCCACACAGCGACCTTTAGCAACGATAAAAGGCACTAAACAACGTTTAAACAAAACTTAGACTGTTCTAGAATATTCCAAAGCCTTCCTCAAAATTGGAATAACTAGAATACATTTATGTTGAGTATTTTATTCTTACTGAGATAATAATTTAGATTCAAAATATCAAAAATGATAGATAGTCATGCATTTAGTGTGTTTCTGAGCTAATCGATATATATAATAGTGCGTTGAGACCTGTTTGTAGATATAATAAATATGTACAACAAGCTCATTTGTCGGTTAAATTAAGAAAAACAGAATACAAAAATAAAAACCAGAAAATAAATAGGAATAAGCGAAACGAAAAAAAAATATCTGTTTGAATTAGAGAAATAATTAAAACCGATGATTTTACTGGCGATTGATTATCCTTGGGAAATAACTAAAGTCTGTCAGAGATTTTTCACTTGACGTATTTTGTATCAATATAATGAGACTAAACAAATATGTGAGTTTCATATTTTAACTGTCAAATTGTTGTGCTGACAAGGTTTTATATCTTATTTTACAACATATGTTAGAATATAGCTCTTATGACCTTAATTTACTTTTTTAATATTCGATACAGATTGATAGCATATATAGAGTCAAATCGAAAATGAAATGATCATATTACTACATACGATAAGAACATTTTTCTTATATATGTATATATCTAAAGAATTTCAATCATTTAAAAATCATTTTTTCACATTATGAAGCATGATCTAGTATTTTTATGTATTTTTGTTGGTTTCTTTTTGTTCAATTTAACTGCTTCAAGACAACAAGAAAATTTATTCAATCAATCAAAACGATTAACTCATGCTATTATACATGGTGAAGTACGTGGTAATGGTAGTCTACCAATAGAAGATAAAAATGCTCATTTACTTGTTGAGCTTCGTCTTTCACGCGATGATCGACCTCGATCAATAGCTAGAACTAAAATAAAGCTGGATAATAATAATAATAATAATAATATTACAACACAGGCATTTACTTTACAATTTAAACTTAAATATCCATTATCAAAAATTAGTCCACATAACTCTTATATACTTTCAGCTAAAATTCGAAATGGTCAAAATAAATTAATCTATATTGGTGATCTTCATGTACCAATTACTGAACGAAAAAATGAACAAGCAAAATATTTAATTATTAATGTTATTGAAACTCGTAAGTTAAAAATTTATATTGAAAATTATTTTTAATTATTAAATATAGCTCCATGGTATAGTAATATTGATAAACTAAGTTTATTAGCTTATAGAGTTACACAATTGGGTGGTACTGAAGAGGTAAGTTCTAATATTTTGAACTGAATATATTTTGACATTATTCAAGGCATTCACAAGTGAATTATATACGAATAAGAAATTAGGTATTTATACATGTGTCGTCTGCAATTCGACTTTATTCAG